TATAATTAGTTTAATGAATAGGAGTAGTTTAGTCTCATTGTTATTATGATTATTATTTTATTTTATTTTTATTATTTTATTGCTATTTGCATTTTCTCAGTTGGCCTATATTATTTCTTTGTAAAGCGCATAGGGGCAATGTGCAATATGCTAACTAAGGTACGATATAGTGAAATGAGAGTTTTTGGACTCTAAATATTCCGACAATTTCTCCAAATAAAATCAAGCATTCTGTTTGCCTTGCAAATAATATAGTCAACATGTTTACAAAATGATATTTTATGGTCAATAAATACACCAAGACCACGATGAAACGAAACGTTCTCTAATAAAACCTCCGCAATCTTATAATTAAACTGAACAGGTTTAATTTTAAGGGAAATAGACAATTTACACTTGAATACATTTAAGGACCCCGCCGCCTATTCCAACGGAGGACAGCATCCAGATCCTCCTGAAGACACCTGGCATCCACCTATAAGTGCTGACAACGCGATACAGTTTTAAGTCATCAACGTACATAAGGCAGTGTGAATTATTGAGACAACATTAGGAATATCGTTAATACACCAGAGGGTACATGCTTCCAGTCAGAGTAACAGTCAATAACCACACGTTGAATACGATTATTTAAATAACTATTAATTAACTGTTATGATTTATATACGACTTAACAGCTTTAATGGCTATCTTGATTCATATTATATTATATTATATTACAGTATATTATATTATATTATATTATATTACAGTATATTATATTATATTATATTATATTATATATACAATATATATATATATATATATATAATATATAAATTATGACATAATAGAGATAAACTCTAAACCGTTTTGCGTTAATGCTACAAATATATGTAAATAAAATTATATATCACTTTTATTAGGAAAAACTGAAATCATCATCATGTGTGTTTGGTAAATTATGTCGTCCTTAAATTAATGAAGACATTACTACCATCCAATGAAGATTTATAAACTGGTTACCGTAATAATTTCAGTTAACTTCTTGACTTGTTTCGAGAACACTGGAATTCTGCTAATTTCGTCATAAATTGTAGTCCTTAAATTGCTTTAATACTAAAAATAATTGAGAGTTCTTCTAATTGGTCCCACTTGTTATTAAGAAAGAAACGCTTGCTATTCACCGGCCATTATTAACCTGTGGTCTAAGAGCTTCTTATATTAAAAAATAAAAACTGCAC